TAACGTTCGCTTGCAGTTGCGTCACGAAGTTGATGCTTCGTTGTAGATGTGGGGTGGGGTGGGGTGGGGCGGGGCATGTTAATGTTCGCTTGCACTTGCGTCACGCAAAGGTTTAGGACAGCGTGACGCAAAACGCGTCGAACAATATGTCCGCAGTTTTCAGTTTCGGTGGAACAACCGAGGAAATTTGCTTGAGGCGTTGGCCCGAACGTGGCCGCAAGTGTAAAGAAAATACACTTGCAAAACGCGTGTGCGCCAAAAAAACGTGCACTTTCTGCTCTTCCCCAATCTAAATTCACCTTACAAGTGCTGACCCTTGTGAAAAATGGGACGAAATCACGTATGATCCAAACTCTCCCAAATGAAAACATGAAAAAATGGGAGTTTTTGAGTAGTGTCCACTTTGGCAATGTGCGAATCGCCCAGGGTCACTATTGGCGGCGATACCTTGTTTAAGGACATGAAGTATCATGAAACGATATCATGAAATCATATGAAGTGTCTGTTGGCTGTCTCTGGCCTTGTGCCTGGCGCTCAAGGGTGGAATCCACCAATGCCTCCAGTTCATCAAGGCGATTCTTCAGATCTCCATCTCCATCCTGAAATGATCCAGGAAGCCGCAGTTCCTCTATTAAAAAACTGACCAAGTTGCTCTACGCTTATATATTCTATATATATATCTCTTATTCTGGAATCTACCGGGTTACCGTTATGATCTTCCAAGTGCCCGTTCAAACCTCAGGACTTGACGAACAGATCAAATCGGTGCAACAAAAGGTGTTCCTGTCCTTTTGGAGGCACTCGTCAAATTGACTTCGCACCTGCGGACTTGTCATTCACATGGCTAGGCCCCCAGCTTCTCTCAGCAAAAAGCAAACCTCTACCAGAACTGTGGAATATGAAGCCCCCAAAAAAGGATCGAAAGGGTGTATCAGTATATCGTTTTTTATCTTTCGACAAGGGCTAGGTCTGAGGAAATGCAAATCTTCATCAAAAAGACTGGCGCCGGACCTACTGTAGATACCAATGGTCCACTACTCAATTCGGATCTGTTCTTGCAGTAGGGAAGTATCATGAAGTATGCTATGCTGCTACTAGGGGCTCCTGGCCTTACTACTGGGAGCAAGGAAGCTACTAGGGGCTCCTGGCATCGCTACTAGTAAGAAGGAAGCTACTAGGAGCTTCTTTAGTACTGTAAAACAAGCGAGGTCGCACAAAACCCCCTTTTACCTTCAAAGAACCCTTGTGCCTAAACGGCAGCCAGAAAGCAGGTTCAACGGAGTGCCTTCATTCACACTCCCTTTCTATGTTGTTGAACCTGCTGGCTTGAGATCTTTCAAAAATGACCACCAGCTCCCTTTACTCAACAGCTTTGTAAGGCCGTCGGCGAGCTGGTGGTCAGTAGGGATCCATTTCAAGGATCGCCCAAAAGCTGCCCTATTTTCTGGGCTCCACTCCATGACCTCTTGCTGCGCCATCTGTCGCAGCGCAGCCAGGTCCACAAGCAAGCGCTTCTCAGAGGGCGCCCTCGGTCCACCGGCTCGGTGTACCGAGTCGTACAGACTCTTGCAGTCCGTCATGGTCAACAGCTCTCCGGGGCACCCAGCTCGGAAGCAACCTCGAAGTAGGTCGCGGAAAGCGATTCCAGCTTCCCACCCTTCCAATGCTGCCATTGTTTCAGAGGCAAAAGTGCTCCTGCATACCCTCTGGCAAGCATGGGATTTCCAGGTTGCCACGATGCCCTGTCCTGGTTTTTTCCCCAGTAGAACTTCTCGGCGTGCTATCACCGCCACATACCCCAGCTGAGAGTAGATGCCGGTGTCCTTGGTCTCGGCATAGTCCACGTTGGCCCATGCCGCATCATGGTACACGATGATCACCAGGTCGTTCCAATTCCCCAGCTTATCATACACCAGTTTCTCCTCCTTCTCCTTCTGGGCCATCCGAACCACATGGTTGGTCGCCTTGATGTTATAGTAGGTGGGTGATCTCTGTTTTCTTTGCGCCATCGAGACGCCCACCTGAATGTCTGGTCTGGTCTGTGATGCCAGCCATGACAAAGCTCCGATGGTGGACTGATTGTCCATCTTGGCCACCTCGTCTGCAGGGTCTTCTGGTAGTACTCCTTTGGGGATGTCCACCGTCTGGAGACGTGTGTTCACATAGTGCTCCTGGCTCAGTGTGACCTGATTCTTCTCCTGTTTCACCGTCACCCCACAATATTCCAGTCCAGTCGAAGCTTCTTCCCAAGCGTCTATATCGGGAAGATCCCCGAGAGTGCTTGTTCCAGAGCCTTGCGGGCGGGCGTAGGAGCTGTCGTCCACGTGGGTGGCCAATGATCCGAACAGCTGGTTGTCCTTGTCGATGACGAGGAACAGGCAGTTGTCCAGGCTATGCTGGACAAGGTGTAGAGTTCCGCGCGCGGTCTCAACCCTGACTTCCAGCAGGGACTGAGCAAGTTTATCCCACCAGAGCCGTGGTGATGTGGACAGCCCGAAGACCCCTTTCACAATTTCGATGAGGTTCTACCCCTTCCAGGTCATCGGCTGGCGGTTCGAAGTAGAGGTCACGTCTCGCTTCAACCCCGTTCAAGAAAGCCGCCTCGATGTCCCCGGCCGCGAGTGTCCACCCCATCTGCGCAGTGAGGAAGACGAGGCATGTTATCGAAGTCTTGGTTGCAGTTGGAGCCTCAGTCGTGAGTTGCCCGGACTGTAGGTCAGGGTCACGATGTCCTCCCACACAGAGACGTGCCTTAGCCTTCGGAGGGATCGTCGAATCTTCACGTCTCTTGGCGCAGTTCTTGTCCCGGTAAGCGAACCGAGCTCTCAAGATCCTGCTCTTGTGGACCCTCTTTCGGACCTTTGCTGCCTCTTGGGCCCCAATGATCCTGATGGCCTTAGCCTTGTACTTCAGGCGCTCCCTCCATTGTTTGGCTTCCGCCTCCTTACTTCTCCGGGATCTGGTTCCACTTGAGCTCCTTGTCCGCCTGCTTCTGTAGAGCTCGAGGGACCCTCTTCTCAGAGGCCATGTAGCACAGCAGTTCCTGGTCCTCAGGGACCGGTACATCTTCTGGTTCTGGGACCATTGGGCAGTACCCCTTTTGTCGCATGCGCTTCTCGGGCACCGAGGTGTCGGCAGGTCGCTTAGCTCCTGAGTTGGGCTCCTCCTCCATAGGTTCGCCTTCATCTGGAAGCGAGGGAGTGTATTCAAGGTCCCCTCCGTCATCGACGGGCGCGAGTTCTCCAGTGGCGTCGGCGAAGACCTCCTCGTCGTCGATCTCCATGCCCTCGATGAGCTTGACCAAGTCGGACCTCACTGCCTTGGCTTGAAGTGTTCCTCCCAACTCTTCCGACTCGGCCAAACGGAGATGCTCTCGAGCACATAGTAGGCACCGACCCCCTCGTGAGACCCAGAAATTCTTACCTTCCTGCCCCACGATGACCCCAGGTCCGATCCATTCTCCCACGTTTTGCCTTTTGCGGGCCATGAAGTCTCCGTGTTGGACTCGTGGTCGCCCATGGATAGCCCGACCATTGATCGCCAGGGGAAATGAGGGCCTGTCTCTCAGCGATGTCGTCTTCCTCATCCAATATCCCTTCTCCCAAGCGAGGAGCCACCCCAAAAAGCCACTGAGCGGGGGAGTAGCCATGGCGACGTCGGAGGTAGTTCTTGGCCTGCGACACTGATGCCAGGACCCATTCGACCTCGTGGTCCTGCATGGAGAGATGGTCTTTGACCCGGTCAAAGATCTGCCGGAACCACTCGTTCTGCCTCTCGATGTGTCCATTTTGCCAATGTGCTTGTCCCGCCGTGTAGTTGACCCGGATGCCGTGCTTCTCCAACTCTTCCGGGAAATCCTTCATGAGGCCTCTCTCTTGGTCCACCAGGGTACTTTGTGGAGCTCCGGCCCAAGCCACCCAACTCTTCAAGAAGCGCTGGGTGTAATCTTCTGCTTTCCTCCCGGTTACGGGCGCCACCACATGGTATCCAGACCCCACGTCCATGATCGAGAGGACCGTCACCTTGTTCCCGGAGAGGTCATAGAGGTGCATGGTGTCCACGGCGACCTCTTCGTTAAAGTCAAGAGGCTTGAAGACTTTTGCCGGTCTCCTGCTACCCGACCGGGCATGTCTCTTGCAGGTTTGGCAATGCAGTTGATGGCATGCCTTCACCGACTCTTCACTAGCGCCCGCCAGCTTCAGGTGTCGGGCTAGGTCGTTGTTGGAGGGATGTCCCATATTCTGGTGTACACGGCGGAGTGCCGTGGCCACTGATTTGGACGCGTGGGGTGGAAAAGAGATACCCGCACCACCTTCTGAACCGTCAGGTCCTCAAATGGCCCCCCGTAGTGGTCCTCCGTGGTCTTGTCCAGCCCCTCCAAGGTGTGCTGTTGTCAGGGAGTCAGCCTGGCAAGGCCAGCTCTGCGGAACGCGGAATGGCCTCGCGTCATGGTCGGATCATGGTCGAATCGTCCCTCCATTGTAACTAGAGTTTTCACCTGCGTCTTATGTGCCTTTCGACTGCGCAGGCTCACACAGTCTGGGTGCCCCGGGCGGGTGCTTCTAACGACTGCGCTCTCGTTTTGGTGCCGTGCGCATTTTCGCACATGGTGGTCACTTTTCGTGGCAGGCGCAGGGGAAACCTCT